CAAAAACCCCCCCCCCCCCCCCCTGGTGTTTTTCGATTTGTGATTTTTGGCAATGCCGGCGATTCGCGAGTCCCCCTTACTGCTGCTTTACTTACTTGTGTTGCTTGCTGTGCCATTTCTTGTATCTTGCTGTCAGACTCTTGTTGATAACCTCTTTTTTCTCTTAAGAAGGACGACTTAAGTTTTTGAATGGCCTCAGAGTGTTTCTTTCTCATGCTTTGCACCTCGTTTTCCAGCCGAGCTATTTCTGCTTCCTGTTCTTTTTGTAATAACTAAAATAGGTGAAGGAAAAATAAAATCAGTTTACTGAATCCATGAAAACGTAGAACGTTTAAGTGTGACATCACTCGTAACGAAAAGCAGCCTATAAAGATTTTCAGCAGCTTATAAACATTTTCTTCATGACAGGATTTGTTGCCCAACATTTTGTTATAGGGCAAGTTTGAATCATAAACGCCATTTTTCACTTTATCTTAACAGTTTTGGTGAGCAATTGGACACAGAAATATGTCACAACTTTAAAAGTTCTATATGCAAGCTACTCCCTTGTGTACAAACAAAAAAAGATTAAAAGAAAGAAGTCTGGAACGAATAATGAATGAATGAATGAATTAAGAAAAATGAATTAAAAAATGGGGAAAATTAGCAAATGAACAAAATGAATGAAGAAAGGAAGGAAGGAAGGAAGGAAGGAAGGAAGGAAGGAATACATGTCTTCTTATGTGCAAACGTTAAATAAAATCTATATAATATGATACTCAAGGCAAAGACTTAAGGGAATGACTCAAGACAAAATGAAATGGGAAAATATTGACACCTTTGACTTGCATTTTTGAAAAGAAAAATTATGAAGATATTAGTTATCAAATGCTTTTTGGCATAAACTGAGTACAATTCGAATAAATTCTGTTAAAATGAGACCCATTTTAGCCAGAACTAGCACCTTAATGTTCCAACATTTTTTTACCTGGTATTCTTCCAAGTCAGCCAATTCATTCTTAGCCATTGCAAGCTCTGCTTCTTTCTCCAACATCAATGCTTTCAATTCTACAGCAAATTGAAAAATTGTGAAAAAAAAGCTGACATATTACCTGTTTCAAAAAAGGTTGTCAGAATATAGGAGATACAGTATAGGAGATCTATGATTATACGACGAGGCATAGCCAGGATTTTCTGAAGGGGAAGGCCAAAATTCAAAAAACCCTGCCATCTTGTTGGAGCTTCCAAAACACTGAACTTATTAAAAAAGAATAAAAATTAAAAAAAGCCAGCATTACATTTCAATTTTATTTTCAAAAACAAAAAAAAAAAAA